GTCTGCCAAGCCGCCTAGCCACGTGTCAGCACGTCGCCTTTCTTGTTGGGGCCTATTTCCTCACGCGGTCTGACAGGTGAGATCATCATCGTCTGTCCGCCGTCTGTAGCGTCTGTCGCACTGCGCCGGGGGAGGGGTTTTTTTTGTTGCCCGCCCTCGTATCTAAAGGCTGCACCGCCGCAAATAGTGTTTGCGAGTTGTCGCACCGCAGTGCGCCTCGCGGACGGACCCTGGTCCGCCTACTTGTCCGATCTCTCTCTTTCTTTTTGTTTTTCTCTCTCTCTCTCTCTGTCTTTCTTTCTCTCTCTCTCTCTCTCTCTCTCTTTTTTTCTCTCTCTCTCTCTCTCTCTCTTTGTTTTTCTCTCTCTCTCTCTGTCTTTCTTTCTTTCTCTCTCTCTCTCTCTCTCTCTTTTTTTTTTCTCTCTCTCTCTCTCTCTCGGGAACCCGAACTGCAACGAGGGCGGACGGAGGTCCGCAGCCGCGGCTCCCTCGCGGCAGCACCCGCTGCGCCTGCACACTCCTCCCCCCCCTCCTCCAGGCCGCCGGGCTCCGCGGAACGGCGAGGCGACGGGAAGTAGTGAATACACCCTGCGAAATGCTTAAGAAATCATGGGTTAAGAAATTCATAGTCTCAGAACTTGAATAAAAACCCCAAATTCCCATTCGAATCTTAGGATTTACATTGAAACGTTAAGAATAATCGACTCTGGCCGAAAACTTGGGTTTTCTTAAGCATCGCCCAAGGTGTAAGGGGAAAACAAACCTACCTCGCTTTTGACCACCCTCGCCTCCAAGAGATACCAAGCGATGCCAAATGGCAGCCTGTACTGGTCAGGCCGCTTGACGAGGAGGCGCGTGGTATGGCTTGGTTTTGCCTGGAAGCGAAAGCGGGGTAGATAATTCACGCTCTGAGTGAAGGGGGGGGAGACCAACCCAGAGAGGAAGGCATCGACCTGGATTCGGCGATGCATCGCCGGCAGATCGACGAGGGTAAAACAGGGCTAGGATCGGGATAAATCGCTCCAGAGCGTTCCCGAACGCTCTCAGAGCGTTCCGGAACGCTCTGGAGCGGCCGCGGCGCCCAAGACATCCTCCAAACCCGCCGATTCTCAGAGATTTCGAGTTATCCTGATCCGACTTTGTTCCGATCTTTTCGCGTCGTTTTAGAGGGGCCCTCCACAGCGAGGCCGGACGTGCCTGGGCCAGAGATCATAGCCTGGGCCCCAGACATCCGACGTCTCGATTTTTTCGAGACACGGGCCCCCAACCTCCCGACCACTTCCCCGGGACCGGTTTTTCATCCCGAGTCGTTTTTTGACGGTCCCGAGGCCCGGCGAGGGCCTCCAGAGGCCGAAAACGATGAAAAACCTTTGTCTCGATTTTCTCGAGACGCCCGAGGTCTGGGGCCTCCAGCGGCCGTCCGGGACGGTCCGGACACCCCCGGACGCCCCTCGAAGAGCCGCCGCTGCCGGAGCGCGTCCCGGGGCAGAAAGGTGGGGGGTGGGGGGGAGAAAGGGCAGAGGTGGACTCCCCCGGGCCACGGCCTCCCGGAGGTAGTCGGCTCCCGCGGCGGGCAGCACGGCAGGGGGCCCGACCAGACACCCCCCAAAAGCTCTCATGCCCCCCCCCAGGGAGGAGGGAGGAGGAGGGGCAGGGCAGAGGAGGATATGAGATATGAGAAAGAAGAGGATGGAGGAAGGAGGAGGAGGGAGGAGGAAGGAGGGAAGGAGGGAGGAAAAGGAGGCAGGATGGAGGCCAAAGGAGGAGGAGGAGGAGGAGGAGAGGAGGAGAGGAGGAGGAGGGAGGAGGGCGGAGGAGAGGAGGCGGAGGAGGAGGAGGCGGAGGAGGAGGAGGAGGAGGAGGAGGAGGGAGGAGGAGGAGGAGGAGGAGGGGGAGGGGGTGGAGACGTGACGTGGAGGCGACGGAAGCAGACGGGGCCTCTGCACGCCCCCGCAAGGAGGAGGGCAAGAAAAAGGGAAGCCCGTCGACCACGGAGGTGGGAGGCGACGGAAGCAGACGGGGCTTGCGCACGCCCCCGCAAGGAGGAGGGCAAGAACATGATGGACCCACGAACCCGGAAAGGGATATAGACATGTGGAGCATGGACACGTTTTCATGATACCCAACTGGGCAACACCTCACGAAACATCCCACGAGACACCTCACGAAACAGCCCACGAGACACCTCACGAAACATTTCACGAGACACCTCACGAAACATTTCACGAGACACCCCGCGAAACATTCCACGAGACACCCCACGAAACATTCCACGACGACAGGCAACCACTCAACCAAGGCGGTGTGGTCGTGCTGGGGTGTGGTCGTGCTGGGGTGTGGTCGTGCTGGGGTGTGGTCGTGCTGGGGGGTGGTCGTGCTGGGGGGTGGTCGTGCTGGGGGGGTGGTCGTGCTGGGGGTGGTCGTGCTGGGGCGTGGTCGTGCTGGGGCGTGGTCGTGCTGGGGCGTGGTCGTGCTGGGGCGTGGTCGTGCGGGGGCGTGGTCGTGCTGGGGTGGGGTCGTGCTGTGGTAAGGTCGTGCTGGGGTGTGGTCGTGCTGGGGTGTGGTCTTGCTGGGGTGGGGTCGTGCTGGGGTGTGGTCATGCTGGGGTGGGGTCGTGCTGGGGTGTGGTCGTGCTGGGGTGTGGTCGTGCTAGGGTGGGGTCGTGCTGGGGTGGGGTCGTGCTGGGGAGTGGTCGTGCTGGGGTGTGGTCGTGCTGGGGTGTGGTCATGCTGGGGCGTGGTCGTGCTGGGGTGGGGTCGTGCTGGGGTGGGGTTTAGTTTCGTTTGCTGGAGTGGGGTGGGTTTCGTCTGCTGGGGTGCTCCGCGCCATCGCCACGATCGACGGGTCGTGCTGGGGTGTGGGTCGTCTGGGGTGTGTTCGTTGACTGGGTGTGGTAGTGCTGGGGGTTGTGGTAGTGGTGGGTTGTGGTCGTGATGGGGAGTGAGTGGTTAGTGCTGGGTGTCGGTCGTTAGTGATGGGGTGGGGTGTGGTCGTGCTGGGGGGTGGTCGTGCTGGGGGGGTGGTCGTGCTGGGGGGTGGTCGTGCTGGGGCGTGGTCGTGCTGGGGCGTGGTCGTGCTTGGGCGTGGTCGTGCTGGGGTGTGGTCGTGCTGTGGTGAGGTCGTGCTGGGGTGTGGTCGTGCTGGGGTGTGGTCTTGCTGGGGTAGGGTCGTGCTGGGGTCGGGTCGTGCTGGGGTGTGGTCGTGCTGGGGTATGGTCGTGATGGGGTGGGGTCGTGCTGGGGTGGGGTCGTGCTGGGGTCTGGTCGTGCTGGGGTGTGGTCGTGCTGGGGTATGGTCGTGCTAGGGTGGGGTCGTGCATTTCGCTCGAGACATCTTGCCAAAATTCCAGGAAATCGTACAAAAACAAACAAATTAGTCGAAACATCATCGAAATTCCTTCGCGCGGGGCGCTTTTCCGCGTCGCGGTCGGCTCTGCAAAACAAGCGTTTCGCTCGAGACATCCTCGGCAAACTCTGCGGAGCAAGCGTTTCGCTCGAGACATCCTCAACACACGAAAAAGTGGCCCGCACCCTGTGATTTATCGATCGGGATTTCAAAAAACAAGCGTTTCGCTCGAGACATCCTCAAATTTTAATTCGCCGGCCTCCTTCGACCTCGTTATTTATCAGGGAAAAAATTCGCCGGCCTCCCTCAAGTTGGCACCGGGGGACAGGTTTACCTACTAAAAGAGAACCCTGGGCCCCAGCCCTTTCCGGGAAAAAGAGAAGCCCGTCGACCACGGAAGTGGGAGGCGATGGAAGCAGACGGGGCTTGCGCACGCCCCCACAGAGAGGAGGGCAGAAAGGGGAAGCCCATCGACCACGGAAGCGGGACGGCGCCCAAAGACAGACAGACAGACAGACGCCATGCACAACATAGGTGCGTTGGCAGAAGTTGTGAGACATACTAGACAATTGGGTGAAACGGCAAGCGTGCTAAGCAGAGGAGGAGGAGGAGGAGGAGGAGGAGGAGGAGGAGGAGGAGGAGGAGGAGGAGGAGGAGGAGGAAGGCGCCCAAAGCAGATCGGAATCCCAGGGCCGCCGAAGAGCACCCCACTTCCGGCGGCCGACGGGCAGCGCTGCCCCCGACTCGCCGCCGCTGGGACGCCCATGCCCCGAGCACGCCTCGGCTCCGCGCGTGCCCTTGCCCTTCCTTCTCCGCAGGGACGGCCCAGGCTGCTCCTCGATGGCTTGGCGGCGAGCAGAAGGGGGTAGGGTTGGGCGCCCGAGCCCCGAGTTATCGGGGGTGGTAACTCGGGGGGTAACTCGGGTACAGGGGTAACTCGGGTTTGATTCCCGAAAGGACACCGAAATAGCCTCTTCCTTGACCCGAGGTTACCCCTGTGATGTGTTGGGGGGCTGGGCTCTGGACGCCCGAGTTATCCGGGGAAATCGGGTCCGGGGAAACTCGGGTGGGATTCCCGAAAAACGAACCCGAGTATCCCTGACCCGAGTTACCCCTGATGACTCGGGGCTCTGATAGGGGGAGGGGGGAAGGCTTCTTAGAAGGAGGCTGCTTCTCAGAAGGTGCCGGCCATGCATCTACAGAGAAGGCCCGCACCTCCTAAGAAGCAGGGGTGCTTCTAAGAAGCCTTCCCCCCTCCGCCTCCCCCTGCCCCCCTCTGCGCGCCGCCAGATGCCCCCCGCGGGCGAGGAAAAACGCCCACGCCCGAGCGATGCCAAGCTGAAGAGGGTCGCGAGGAGGGGCGCAGGCATGCTGCGGCCCCAGACATCCGACGTCCCGATTTTTTCGAGACACGGGCCCCCAACCTCCCGACCACTTCCCCGGGACCGGTTTTTCATCCCGGGTCGTTTCTTGACGGTCCCGAGGCCCGGCGAAGGCCTCCAGAGGCCGAAAACGATGAAAAACCTTCGTCTCGATTTTCTCGAGACGCCCGATGTCTGCGGCCGCGCGCGGGGGCGGGAGCGGCCCGTGCTCGCGCGGGCCGGCGCGATGCCGAGGCGCGCTGCCCCCCTCACCGAGAGGCCGGCGGGCGCCGCCTGGCCGCCGACGAGCCGCCGCTGCTCCTGCACCTCGCCGCGGGAGGCGCGCCGAGGCCGCGGGGGGGAGAGGAAGAGGAGGAGGAGGAGGAGGAGGAGGAGGAGGAGGAGGAGGAGTGAGGAGGAGGAGGGGCAGCGACGGAGGAAGGAGGAGGAGGAGGAGGAGGAGGAAGGAGGAGGAGGGGCAGGAGGAGGAAAGGAGGAGGAGGAGGAGGAGGAAGGAGCAGGAGGAGGGGGCAGGAGGAGGAAAAAGGAGGAGAAGGAGGAGGAGGAGGAGGACGAGAAGGAGGAGGGAGGAGGAGGAGGAGGAGAGGCGGGAGGAGAAGGATGGGAGGGAGACGAAATCCTCCGCCTCCTCATCCTCCTCCTCCTCCTCCTCCCTCCTCCTCCCCCCCTCCAACTTATGGTGGTGGTGGTGGAAAACATGCCCATCAAACTCGGATGCCCGCCGCGAATTGCTCGGATCCGCTCGGGGAGCGTCGAGCTCGAGGCGGCGATGCCCCGCCGATAGATCGGCGATGCGCCGCCAAGATTAAAGGGGAACTGGGACACACAAACAAATACACACAAGTAAACATACCCCCATATTTTCCCATATTTTCTGGGTTTTTGTCTTCCCCCCCCACTTCCCATATTTTCCCACGTTTTCTGGGGAGTCGACGATTATTTGTGTCTGTGTGTTTTTTTCCCTCCTGAAAGATGTATCGTGAGAAGGGGGGGCCTTCTCAGAGGGCTCGGAGGTTCTCGGGCCCTCGGAGAGGTTCTCGAAGCCTTCCCCGAAGGCGCCGAAAACTTCTCAGAGGGCGCGAGGGCTTCCGAGAAGCCCCGCCGCCCTCTGAGAAGGCCTCCTTTTTTATCTACCCCCCTCGCTCGCCGCCGAGATGGGGGGACCCGCCAAGGGGGAGGGAAAACATCGAGCTCGAATCGGCGACACACCGCCGACAGATCGGCGATAGGCCTCCGATGGCGAAACCTCACGTTCCTGGGGGTAGAGGAACAAGAACTATGCACATACACCAATTCTGGCCAGGCCCATCCTGAGCCCAGGATCGGTGCATACGCCCTCCTACCTTGGCCAGGAAGGCATATGCACCGATCCTGGGTCAAGGATGGGCCTTGCCAGGATCGGTGCATGTGCATAGTTCTCTTCGCCCGAGGGGGGGGGGGGCCCATGGGGGCCGCCTCGCCGCAAGGCGCCCGGGGGTGCCCAGATCGCCCTGGACGGCCGCCGGAGAGCCCAGCAATACCACGCAGATCAAACGGCAACGTAAGCCCAGATGGTCTGGTACCGGAAATTTTCGGTAGCGATTTCGACGCACCCCGAATTTCGGTAGCGACCGGATCTTCGTTTGAGGGCGATGGAATAGCGGATTTCAGAACGGTCTGATACCAGTATTGGGCGCTACATTTCGGTATTTCGGTAGCGACCGATCTCTGCGGAGCGCTACCGGAAATTTTCGGTAGCGGACCATCAGGGAGGGGGTGGGACCGGCTCGGGGGGGAAGCATCGAGCCGGAGTCGGCGATGCCCCTTAGCGGATCCGCATGTGCATGGGGCGGGGTGGCCTATTGGGCCTCTATCTGCGATCAACGGGCGATGGGGGATCGATGCACCCCTCTGAGCTGGCCCCCCTCAGTACAGCCCCGCCCCCCAACCTCCTGTTGCCGAGCCGACGGCGAGTCAAACTCCCGCCCTCGGCTCCTGGCGCGGCGCAGAGCGGCCGACCGAGGTGATGCTGCTGCCGTCCCCGGCCTCATCTCGGGTGATGAGCGTGTTTTCCACCACCACCACCATAAGTTGGAGGGGGGGGTCCTCCTCCTCCTCCTCCTCCTCCTCCTCCTCCTCCTCCTCCTCCTCCTCCTCCTCCTCCTCCTCCTCCTCCTCCTCCTCCTCCTTCGCCCCATCCAACTTATGGTGGTGGTGGTGGAAAACGCGCTCATCATCGGGGCCCGCCTCTGTCCACACCGGAGGAAAAGCAAACGGTACAAGCAGCAACCCTCGGAGGTCCGCGCGGCCTCTCCGTGTCCAACGGGACGGCGGCGGTCGAAGAGGAATCCACCCTGCGAAATGCTTAAGAAATCATGGGTTAAGAAATTCATAGTCTCAGAAACCCAACATTTCTATTAAAATCTTGGGATTCACATTGAAGCATTAAGAATCATCGAGACTCTGGTCGAAAGCTTAAGTTCTCTTACGCATCGCCTAAGGTGTAAAGCGATGTAGACATACGCGCTCGGAGGTCGGCGCGGATGTCTCGGATCGGCGCTGGAACCCCCCTCCCTGGCGCGCGGAGCGCGTCAGGGGCGGCGCCAGAGGCGTCACCCACGGATGTCCAGCGCCGACACGAGAGATCTGCGCCAGACCGCCGAGAGATTACGCTTATGCCGTGGTCGTCGAATCACCTAGGGCTCCCAACTTCGCGCTTCGCGCTGCGCGAAGCGCGAATAACTTCGCGCTCTCGCGCCGCCCTCCCAAAGGGAGAATAGGAGGACGAGGAGGAGGGGGAGAAGGAACGAGGACCGCGAAGCGCGAAGCACGAATAACTTCGCGCCCTCGAGGGAGCCCTTGAGATAATCACGAAACCCTGCCCTTTCCGACTCGGCAGGGAGCTCAGGGGAAGTGAGAAGGGGCGGGTCTTCTCAGAAGGCTCGAAAGTCCCCAGGCGTTCTGACAAGCTTGCGAGGCCTTCCCCGAACACGCGGAAATCTTCTGAGAAGGCCAGAAGGCTTCTGAGAAACCCCGCCGCCTTCTGAAAAGGTCATCGGAATCTTCTGAGAAGGCTGGAGGGCTTCTGAGAAGACCCGCCGCTTTCTGAAAAAGCCTCTTCCTTCTCACTCCCCCCTCCGCTACTCCCCAGACCTCTCCTGGGGTGCGTTGTGACCAAGATCTCGAAGCGAATCCAGCGGTGGCGACGAGGGCCTCCCAGGAGGCCCAACAAATGGAAAAAGAAACAGGGGCAGCGGTATGGGTACCTTTTCCTCCTCTGAATTCCCGCCCCGATCTCCCTCGCAGCGTTAATCTCGCGAGACTGGTGTGGGAGTCCCCTGGAACCTCCCGGGAAAACACCCAAAACCTCAGAAAAAAAAACGCATAGTTTTCTGTTCGGTGGTGTTCCCTCTGGATCCTGGGGGGGAGGCTTGGGCGATGTTCGGGAAACTCCCGGGGAACCACACTTAAATCAAACAACAAAACATTCTGAACCCCCCAATCAGGAACCGTAAAATCCCCGAAGAAAACATTATCCCAAACCTCCCCAACAAAAAAAAAAACATCCCTATCGGAAGGGCTCCCGATTTTTTTCTAGGATGTTTGTGGTTTTTCTGTCATTGGTTTGTATTTGTTCTGGGGAGAAACACCCAAGACACCAAACTCGGGTTTGGTTGTTTTACCAGTTTCTTCGGGTGGTTCCGGGGACCCACACTTTAAAACAAAACTATGTTTGACCCCCCCTTCTCCAGAAAAAAAACACACGCAAACAAACAAAACACAGAATCACATGTTTTTTTTCTAATGGTTTTCGGGGGGGTCTGGGGTCTCACTAGTTTTTCGGGGGGGTCTGGGGTTTCAAAATTACGAACAAGACTACGTCTGAAAACCCTCCCAGAACTCCCCCCTAGAAAATCCCGAACTCCCCCAAGTCGGTGGTATTTCGGGGGGGGGGGTCGGGGGTTCTCCGGCCAGCCCGGAACTCCCGAGTTGGGAGGTTTTTCGGGGGGGGCGTCGCGAGGTTTTTGAGAGGGGGGGGTCAAAAATACGATTATTCTTAAGTATGGTGCCCGGGAACCTCTCAAACAAACTTCAGAAAACCCGCCGAGTTATGGAGCCTGGGCTGGACGAAGAAACCCCGAACAAAAAAACGATAACCCTCCGAATTGGGTGGGGGGTCGCGTTGTTAGATGTGTTGTTGTGGGGGTGTTCAGAACAAACAAAAAAACAGACAAAACAAAAAACAAAATGGTGCCCAAGAATTTCCAGAACAAACAAAAAAATGAGTTGGGGGGTCGGACTTTGGGGAAGGGTCAGAAATAGTATTGTTTCTATGTGTGGGGCCCAAGACCCACCGAATCAACCGAGAGTTGGGCTTGTGTTCGAAAGGTTTTCCCTCAAGAGCTTGGGCTGGCCGGATAATCCAAAAGAAAAAACACAACAAAAACTCGAATTGGGTTTTTGTTCCAGAAATGCTGTTCCGTTTTTGGGGAGGGGTGTCAAACGTAGTCTTGTTTTTGATTCCCCACATGCTTGGTAGGGTTATGGTTTTCTTCCCTCCCGCGTCCCACCCGCGACGCTATACACACACACCCACACACCCACACACCCACACACCCACACACCCACACACCCACACACCCACACACCCACACCCACACCCACACCCACACGCACACGCACACGCGCGCGCACGCACGCACGCACGCACGCACGCACGCGCGCGCACGCACGCACGCACGCACGCGCAGGCGCGTGCGCGTACACACGAACGCACGCACGCACGCACGCACGCACACACGCACACACGCACACACGCACACACGCACACACGCACACACGCACACACGCACACACGCACACACGCACACACACGCACACGCACACCACACACACACACACACCACACCACACCACACCACACCACACCACACCACGCCACGCCACGCCACGCCACGCCACGCCACACCACACAACACCACACCACACCACACCACACCACACCACACCACACCACACACAGACACACACACACATACACACACCTCACCTCCCTCATCACATCACCCCCACAGACACACGCACAGGCACACACACAGCATCTCGCCCGCGTCCCCTCCTCCTCCCTTTCTTTCTCCTGCTCACTTGCGCAAGCGGTGACCGCACATATTCACACAGCACACACACAACACATTTGCATACAGCACGCATACTGGGCACCCAAATTCTCGGAAGGTGTGGCAGGTGTGGCCCTTTCTCGACACCGTACGGGGTGCGCAAAAGGGGGTCTGAGCGGTCTCTATACGGTCCAGGCTCGGAAAGTGCAG